TCTTTCATGTGCATCTTTTCAGCCAAAATCAAATCACGAATATCATCATATTTCAGTTTGGACTTACCTGCAAAACTGCTAACTATCATCCTCATGACTTCTCAGTTATTTGACAATGATGTCAATAATATTAGCACACGTATCTCATCATCAAAATCAATTTCAACATACGACAATTAATTTGTGATAGTATTAAAATTATTCAAAAATTATTCAGGTGTTGTGTTGAGCAACATACACACCTTCCACCATCTTCGAGTTGAATAATTTTTCATCAAGTGCACGTTGTTATTCGTCGATGGTTTTTCATTCATACATGATAAAGCCGCCATGAGATTTGCAGTAGTCCTATCCTTGATGATATTGTGGGCAATGGATCTTGACAGGGTTAATCGTATAAACCCCAGAACCTGTCGATCCAACAGATTTCATTACGCCTCGTCCATCTTTTCCGGCTTTTTCCCAGTAATGGAAGGTGAAGTTTCTTCCCATAGAGGTAGTCCTCTATTTGCATCCTCCAGTAACCAAAATGTGTCGTCGAACTTCTCGATCCCCAAAAGCGTCACTTCATCTCCGACCATCGTTCTTCCTCAGATCCAAACTTAGGCTCTGATATCAATTGTTATGAAAAACGATGGCAATAAAGTGAAAAAACTGGATCGAAAAATTACAAACCATAAAATAACACAGATTTACATGGTTCAGCTAATTTGCCTACGTCCATGGAGCTGCAGAGGATTTTAGTACTTCGAGAAATTACACCGTCGAGCGTGTCGACATTTACAAGAAAAATTTCTTTCTCTTTCTCTCTTCCTTTCTCTCTCTTAGCTCTCAAGAGGACTTGGTTTAACACTTATGATAGGACAAAATGGACTATTTAAAGAAAACGGGAGAGAGTTATGTGGAGAGAGTTAGGTGGGAGAGAGGTAGGTGAGAGAGAAGTAGGTGGGAGAGAGGTAGGTGAGAGAGAAGTAGGTGGGAGGGAGATAGGTGAGGCGTGGTAGATGAGGTAGATAAGTCACAAGCTCCATATATTTAACAGAATGTCAAGGCTCCCTTCCCGCCGGTCTTCTTGCGTGAAGGGAACAACTATTTCTTTGTCTTAATTTGCCCACCTGAAAAAGTCCCTCTTGACTGACTCTGCAAGCTCCGCCTTGGAATCGTTCAAAGGGATCTTCATCTGTTGTGAACTGCTTCGTCCGTCTACTCGTCTGGTGAACTCGACGTGAATCGCTTGTCTGCTCGTCGTCTGATTATTTCTTCGCCTACGTCGTCTTATTTCTAATTCATCTTCATCTTCGACTCGCTAGTCTTGACAGAGTCTCTCCTTTGTTCGAACTCCACCCGCAGTGGCTCCCGCGTCTTCGTTCGAACTCCGCCTTGGACGTCTTCGATTGCTTGCTTCGAGCTGTCGGCGTTCGTAAGGGGAGGAGATGGTGAGGTCGCCAACGACCCGGGTTGCTTTCCTTTCATCCTCCTCTCATGCGCTACACTAGCCATCCTCTCCCTCTCGTGCCCGGGCTCGTCGGCTGGTGCTCCTCCTCACCGACAAACAGCCAGCCGCTGACCTTCCCAGCTCTTCTCGAGACCCCTTCCTCCCTCGCGTCGGCCTTAGAGCTCTGGTCCTCTCCTACTCAAAACCATTGAGGAAGGTACCGAATATGTTTGAGCAGCTTTATGGACTTGCAAGGAGCTCAGCAACGCCGTCAGGGGATCTCCAATCATGGGAAACTGACGCAGGTACGGAAGTATTCCCGCTCGAGTGAGGGAATAGCTAGCTAGGGCTGTCAAAAAAGCTCGTTGTTCGCGAACAGCCCCGGTTCGGCTGGCTCGTTCGTTAAGTAAATGAGCCGAACACGAACAAGCTTTTAAAACTCGATTTATAAACAAGCCGAACACGAACAGTTCTTTGTTCACTCGTGTTAAACACGATTTGAGCTTAGGCTCGCTCGTGTTCAGCTTATTTATACCCCCTAATGCATATATTGGTTCAAATGTGATTAATCACTTATTTTGTATATATGTGGTCCAAGTTTGAATCTCACACTTTACATCTATTTTTTTCAATTTAATTTTAACGAGCCAATTTTGAGCCAAACACGAACACACTGTTCACGAGCAAATTTCGAACACGAGTCAAAATTTCGAACACGAGTCGATTTCGAACACGAGCTAATTTCGAACGAGTCGAACACGAGCCAAGTCTGAGCTCGCTCAAGCTCGGCTCATTCACAGCCCTATAGCAAGCCGGCTAAACCTATTGGCATAAGACATCGATCCAGGTCACTATTGGGCAAGGCAGCTTCCCTAGGGGGTGAGACAGTCAATTCCCCACTCTATTCCTTCCCTTTTTTGTTGTTCCCCTGTGGGAGTCTCTTTAATTACTGTTTCAGATAATTAGGATTTCATTACTGTTTCAAAGAATTAGGCCTCAGTTTTTGCTTGTGTTTGTTTCAGAATTCCTCTTGGAGTGTTCTCTCCTTGTTAGGATTGTATCTAATGATAGTTGGTGCTTTGGTTTTATCCTGCTCCGAGGTGATGTTTATCTTCCTCTAATCTCTTCCCCAATCCTTCTCCACTCTTCCCCTAGTTGCTTTCCTCCCTCCCCACGTCATCTAGCTCCTCTTCTGACACCCCCTGGTAGCCGTAACCTGATGTCCAGCTCTCTCTACCACCTTCCAACCGGCGGCTCCTATTTCCCCTACCCTCCCGGCCACCCACTTGCATACTGACGGCCGCCTACAACAGTTCTTCTTGTTGTCTGGCTCATTCCCCCCATCAAACAGCATCCATTTACATATCTAACAACTAAACCTCTATATATGTATATATATATATATATATATATATCACAATACTTATGTATGAGTTGGTGTATTTCATATTTTAAAAATCAAAATAGTGTTTTTTTTTTTTTTTTTTTAATGTGATATGAATGATTCGGGTGGTATAAATGTTAAAATAAAATTTAGGTGCTAGATACGTAAAGAAATAGGAATTGGGCGGTATGCATGCTAATGTCCCTTTCAGATAAGCGCCATTTCATGATAATTGTCAATTTCTTACCATGGATGCTTGGGCAAGATAAGTAGTTTTTCAACAGAACTGTTTGTATAAATGCAAGGGCTCTTATCTGAAATATGGGAATTTCTGCATTACATAAATGATCTTCTGGGACCATAATTCATGAGTTTTGTAGAACATGGAAAATTTATGGTTTATATACATGCCACTCAATTCATTTGTATTTACATTCCACTTAAATTTTAATTTTTATAAACATACCACCGAACATATTCATAAAAATGTGAATTTAATTTTTTTTCAAGTTAAATTGTCTATTATTTATCTGTATAAATCTGGGTGGTATAAATGTAAGTGTTAGACATGTAGTAAGGCACTTAAATGATTTGGCCTTTCAAGATAGCTCGTCGATTCGTTCACTAAGCAAAATAGCTGCACATAAATATTTTTTTTGGCGTTTGATATATAAGAGCCGAACATGAATAAAGATTTATTTATTTGTGTGCTTGTTTTGACTCGAAATAATTAAATTATTTAGATAATTGATGAGTATTATTTTAAAATGATTTAACTGACTCAAAAGTGTAAAGATTTATAATCAATTAAAATTATTAATTTTAAAATGAAAATAAAAATATATTAAATTTTATTAAAATAAATAATTTAATATAAATATAAGATTTACATCTTGCTTCTATCCTTAGCATTCTTAATATTTTATGATCATGTGATTAAGGTTATCAAAATGGCTTGTTTGCCAACTGTTCGTGTTCAACTCACTTAGCAAACAAGCTGTACACAAAAAAAAAAAAATTTTTGCGCTTGATCTATAAGTATTTTTTAACGTGTTGAGCACAAATCGAGTCTGAACTCGCTCACGCTCAGTTCATTTACACCACTAAAATGACCGCAGGTACTCATTCATGCAGCACTTCTTTGGGCATAAGAAGCGCATTTAATAGAAGTTTTAATTAGAACAAATGTGACTATATGTGACATCCATAAGTTTTAAAAATAAAAATAATATAATTTATTAATAATAAGAACAGCCACAACGACAAATAATGATATCGGATTAGGTAGACGACACAATCTACGTTACGTTGAAGAAAATGATGAAGAATATGTTACCTGCAATACATATATAATAAATTTGGTCAATGTTTAGGGAAAATAATTTAATCTATTTTAATCGGAATATGATTAAAATTTTGCTTCTGTCTTATATATAGTTGAAGTTATTACATTTTTTTAAATTGTTTTATATAATGTCCTTAGCATTAAACTATTAGTTTTTCTATTATATCACATCTTATTTTTTTTATTTAGCATGCAATGAAATCATAAAGTTTTGAAAATATAGAAACATTTATTTTTGTTGCAAAAAAAAAAAAAAAAATCCTAAAATTTAAAATGTTAGGCATCGATGTATTTTTTATTGTAAGGATGTTGGAAATCGTGCAAAACATATTATTTGTCTGCAAAAAAAAAATAATAATAATAATTAAACTGTTTAGAACAGGATCAAATTTGCCATCCAAAAAAAACATCAATCTCGTAATTGGAGTTGTATTAATAAAGGAGTGTTGAAAATTGACCCAACATGCTAACACGACTTGAACTCGACTTGAAAATTTCGGATTATGATTGACCGGAAAATTTTTTCGAGCCGGGTTTAGGTCAGAGAATTCGCCCGTTTAATATTCAGGTCTGGTTCTGCTTGAACCCAAAAATCCAATATTACCTGAATAAGCACGAAATTTCAGGTCTGGTTTAAGTTCAAGTTTGGGTTAGTGGGTCAAACTTGGGTTCGGATCTTAGTTTTAGGCTCGTTTATTGTTTGGGTTGGATTCGAAGTGAATCTATTAAGATCGGGTTATTTTTGGGTCGACCGTAACCCGACCCCAACCCCAACCCACTGACACACCCCTTAGACTGTATATATAGACTGATATAGGACCTGAAAATGGAAAACTAGAAAAAACAGAAAGCTTGGATGAGTTCATTGAGGAAGGTTTCGGAGGTTTCAGCTCTTCTGGATCTGAAGCAACATCCAGATGGAGGTTTCTACTCGGAAACCCTAAGAGACTCTTCCGTAATCCTCAACAAATCTCAGCTTCCTCCGACTTGTAAAAAGCTCCAACCCTTTTGTTCCTGTTTTCTGCTAAATCCATAATTTACAAAAATTAGGGTATTGATTGGCAGCTTTGAAACTCTGTTTGCTCATATTGCCTCCTTTTTGGCTCTGTTGCTGCTGTATTATTTGCATTTTACCTCCAATACGTGTTTATCGGATGAATTTTCACTTTAATTTCCTTGAGAAGAACGATTATAATCCTTTAAATTTCTTTTGTTTTTCTATCATATTATATCATGTTCAAACTCAAAGCATCAATCAATTTGCAGAAAACTATGTAAGAATAAAGTTTTTTGTAATTTTATTGTGTTTTATCAATCCAATGAAAAGGTTTAATAAAATATGACCGCACAGTTTATATAAAGTCTAGCTTAACCTGTGAATTTTCTCAATCAAAACTATTATATAACCTCTAAATTTCACCCGAAATTCATATGTTTAATTCCAATTCGAAGGCTTCTGAAATGAGAATTGTTTTGGTGACATCATTCAATCTAAACCATTCTTCTAGAAAATTTTAAAGCGTTCATTTGATGATCCAATTGTTATAAAGATTGTTGATATTAGGTATATTGGAAATTTTGAATAAGAGCAATCATATCTTATTTCTCGGTTAAAACTCAATATGTTGGATTGTTTCCTCCATATTGACTTTCTTCTACAAATTCTATGTATTTCTACCATGCATGACCATGCATGCTTATTGTGCTAAATTTTTTATTGATCGTGGCACATTAACATCATGTCAAAGTGAAGTTAACATTTATAAAGCGACCATTTCATTCTTTTCAACTTGGGTTAACGCCCAGTTCATTGGGCCAATTTGTTTATAGAAGATCTTACTATGTATGTATGATGTGTGTGTGTGTGTGTGTGTCTATATATATATATTGTCTATATATATATATATATATATATATATATATATATAAGTATGTATGTATGTATATATGTCTTTATATACAAATCTTAATAAACTATTTATGCTTCCTAACATTTTGGAGCTTAACAAGCTATTCATCAAGCTCAATTACGACTGGGTACAACTCAACTTTTCTGATGAACTCAACCATATCTCGGGCTCAAGCTTCAACTCAAACAAAACTAGTCGAGTCAAACTCGAGCTTGGTGTAGCTAAAGCTCAACTTAATTCGCTTACGCACCTCATTGACACTAATCCATAGCCTTTTTAGATGTCAAGGATGAAATATTGCATGATAAGGACAAACTGACCAACTTCAGATGGCATCAACTCTAGGAATCCCTTAATAGAAATAACAAAGGGGAATTTGTTTCCATGTAGGAGAAGTCCAATTTGTTTTTCTTTATTAATTAGCATCTTTTTTTAAAAAAAAAATTTTAATCATTTTGCAGACAAGGTGGATCGACCCATCTGCTCAGCAATCTATTTCTTACTTCCATCTGGAAGCAAATCATGCCTCCACCGTCTCCCTTGTGCAGAAACATTCCACTTTCACATGGGAGAACCGCTTACAGTAAGAACATTTTCATGGCTTCTTATTTTATTACTTGAGCTGATAAAAGTTATACTCTCTAAAATGTTTGTTTCTATGAGCAATTGTTTTAGATACATTTGCAATAATGACTGAACATATAAAGTGATGAAACTCTCAAACTAGGAACCTTTGTTTGAACATTTTCAATTTTTTATATTTTTTTTTCTACCTAATGACATTCAAATTAGCTCTTTTAATACTCTCTTAGAAAATATCATTCCAAGTTAAGACGATAAATACTCTAAACCTTCCAGCACCAAACAATATCGAAATTATTTGTTAAATCTGTGATAACATAGTTTATAATAAAACTATGAACCTATTCTTATCCATGAAAGTTATTTGGATAAATTGATATTTATCTCTAAACGCATCTGTTTTGGATTTTATCCTTCCACAGCCAAAAATTTGGCTTCACAAAATTAATTTTCTCCAGATTACCTACTTTCAGAATAATACAAAACTCCATGTCATGCGTTTGTTCATTTTCTTTATGGTCACATACTTAACATTAGCATGCAACAAGCATGTTTTAACTGATTGCGTGATTTAAAACAGAAAAATTATAGCAGAATTTTTTAGACATACAACACAGTTCTTATGCATCTACACCCAAACATTTACATGCATATCACTCAAATCTTTAACATAAAATCCACCATCACCATCTTCTTAAAAGTGAAATACACATTTTCATGCATAGATTTATGAAACTGGTGTTATGAGTGTAAATATCAAACTTTGGGCATTAATATGTAAATACATAAGAATTGAGTGATATATATGTAAATTTTCCAATTTCTATGAAAATACTCGTTATTCTAAAACACATACTATCATGAGCCTCCCATTCATTCTCTTTCAACAAATAATACCTCCCATTTTTCTTTTTGACAACAAACAGGTATTTGAACTCCATGAAAATGGAGAAATCAAGCTAACAGTCCTCGGCCAAGATTTAGAAAATGGTCATAAGCTACAGTACACTGTTCCTCCTAATGTGTGGTTCTGCTCTTTCCCAACACTGGATGTTGAATCATTTTCTGCTGATGGCAGTGTTCTGGTGAAGGCTCCAGATAGAGATCCTGAACTGAATTATTCTCTTGTTGGTGTAACCTGTGCTCCTGCTTTCCAGTTTCAGGATTCTGAATCTGCTAATTTTGATGAGATGATTACCATTGCACCAAAGGCTACTTCTTTTCTTAAATATCTCGTCAGATCCTGAATTTTTCGTGTTAAGCGAGGCGTTTAGAAGTTTTGGTTTGTGATAAAATAAGGTTGAATATCGAATGAAAGTTATCTTAATATGTTGGTTGAGAGCTTAGTCTTTTAATAAAGAGGTTTTTTTTTGCACCAAAGGCTATTTCTTTTGTTAAAATATCTCGTCGGATGCTGAATTTTTCGTGTTAAGTGAGGAGTTTAGAAGTTTTGGTTTGTGATGAAATAAGGTTGAATCTGGATTGAAAGTTATCTTAATATGTTGATTGAGAGCATTGTCTTTTAATAAAGAGGCTTTTTTTTTGCACCAAAGGCTATTTCTTTTCTTAATTATCTCATCCAAACCTGAACTTCTTCGTGTTAAGTGCTGGTTTGTGATGAATTAAGGTTGAATTTGTAATGAAAGTTTATCTTATTTTGTTGGTTGAGAGCTTAATTTTTTTATAAACAGGTCATGGGTTCAAGGTAGCCTTACATATGTAGTGTGTGTTTTTGCATTTAAATTCGCTTAAATTTCTCAAGAAAATAAAGAAAAAGTTGAATATCTAGTTATAGGACTGAAAAACATGGGGGATGAGTGGTACAGAATTAGGTGTTAGATGGAATAATAATATAATATTATTATGTGCTCATAAGTTTGCGTAGAGTGATATATTAATATTTTAATATTATATAAAGATAGGACCCACACAAGTAAAAAGAAATTGACAGATATACGAGCAGAACATTTTACATAGAAAACTTGAACAGGTAAAAATTTGAAATGATTCCATTGTGTTGATATATTTATAAGACTTTATTGACCCCTTATTAGCGGAAAGCAATTTTACACGACTGTGATATGACTTTCACTAGAGAAGTGGCAGAGAACTGCCCAGCTGTGTGAAGAAAAGTCGATATGAGAGGTCAAGTGCCAGAAAGCCTGAAGCCAACATTGTTAGTAGTGGCAGTGGCGGTCAGACAGCAGTGGTCCTGTGCGGTGACAGTGATTCAACGTTAGTGGTGACTCGACGAAGATGGCCTGATGGTGATGTCGATAGTCAAGTGGCGGTGATAGTGGTTTGACGGTGGCGATGACCAGAGGGCGATGGCCAGGCAAAGGTGGTCCAGCGGCAGCGGCAGTCATATGACAGTATTGTGTCGGTGACTGCGGCAATGCTATGCCAGTGGCAACACTAGATGATTGTGATCGAGCAATGGTGGTCCGACATTAACGATGGTTGGACAGCGGTGGTCTTATGGCGACGACGCTCAGACAGTGGTAGTCTAGTGGCGGCGAAGGTCGTCTAGCAGCGTTTGTTGTCAGATGACGGTGGTCGGGCAATAGTGGTTTGGTTATAATGACGGTTAGATGGCGGAGTGGCGCTGACGATGGTCCCGCGTTGTTGGTGGCCAAACGATAGTGGTGATGGTTTCGACCGCGGTGATCCGGTGGTGGCGATGGTGATATGACGATGGTAGTGGCGGTGGTCGGGACAACCGTAGTCCAGCAGTGACAACCAAGATGGCTCAACAACAGTGGTCAGGCAACGGTGTCGAAGTCTGGTGTTGGCGGTCGCTAGTCGGTGATGGTCTGACAGTAATGAAGCTTATGAACCATTAAGAGCTTTGAGCTTCTTCAGCTTTCTCATTCAGGTCTATGTCTCCCTTCATGAAAAGAGTGAGAGGATTGTTTACACATTTTGTGAGCGGCATGGTTCGTAAATATTACATGAATCCGGACCACTCCATTGAACGACTCAGAATGATCACTTTTATGTGATAAGTTTTTATGAGCATTTAAGTTTCTTAATGATGTCAAAATTAAGTAATCTTAGGATTGTTAGATTCGGCTCATTAAGACGCTTGATTTGGCTATAAACTTGTCAAATTTGGAGATCATTTGGTCTCTCAAAATATATTTCAAATCTTCTAACTATGCTTTAAGTGGATGAGTTGGACCCACTTGGACTTGGGTCAAATCTTTTTTTTTTGTCATCTGGTTCATCTCCCTTAAACCCTTTCTTCATAAAAAATCAAAGTGTCGCCATTTTCAATTTAATTTTTGAAGCTTTGAATCAAAATGCCTGTCGAGATTCATGCGGATCAATATAATTTTTTTAAGAATGTATCAGTTGCCGCTATTTTATATATTGTTCAATGAGTTGAAAAAATATCCTAAACTCCTAAGAAATTGTGTGAAGTAAAATAGTGATCTTCAAGAAAATGTGAGATGCAGCTGTTGTATTGTGTTGGTAGAAACCTTCTCCTAGGGGTTGTGATTCAAGAAACTCTTCAATATTCATCCGCAGAAATCAAATTTGTGCAGGAATGTCACAAAATGGCTTTGGGGACCTAATGGTGCCACAAATGGGTTGTACAGATTGTCACCACTAGCGGTAGTGATGGAGCTAGAAGGTGACCTAATGGGTGCATTCACGCAGGAAGGCGTGCGGTCCAACTATGAGGAGGTGGTGGTCTGACAATCATTGGACCGGCGGCGACGGAGGTCAGACGAAGGCGTTCTGGCGGCAGTGATGGTGGTGGTTGGACGGTGGTGGGTCGGTGACAGTGGCGGCTAGACTGTGGAGATCCATGGTAATGGCTAGATTGCGGAGATCAGGCAGCAGTGGCGGCTAGACTGCAGTGATTTGACAATGACAAAAATGATGGTCGTGCAGTTGCGATTCGACAATGGCGGTGGTCCGATGATGGTGGTGTTCTGACAACGGGACAGAGGTGGTCAGGCTCCAGTGGTGTGGTGGCCATTGTGGCAATAACCTAATGGTAGTCGTCCGACGATAGATGTGGTGGCCCGGAGGTGCACACAAGCACACTAACGCACCTATGATGCACGCTTGCATGTCTTTGCATGCTAACGGCAAGCGCATGGAACTGTTGCTAGAATCTAAGATTTTTTAGGTTTTTTTTTTCCTAGTTTTGAGAGAATTTTTTCATTTTTTGGGCTATTTTTAATAGAAAAAACATATATGAAATTAAAGAATTCAAGATTATAGAGAAATTGGGATTTTTTTCTCATTTTTATTTTCTTAAGGAAAAATGTATTTTTCTATAAAAAATTAGGACTCTCCCTCCAAAATTTATTTCCTTTTCTGTCCTTGTTTAAGCCTATCAACACATCTTCTGCTTCAGGCTCGTATTCCAAATGTTGAAGCTTAGGCGGTCCCTTGTAAATTGAAATGTTTGGCTATTTTTGTTGGACATGATCCTTAGTGAGGTAATTGTCATCCTTCCAAAGAAGCATTGATCGGCCTTATCAGCTAGATAGGTTTGGGGGCAATCAAGACTTGTAGTGCGACAATGAGCAATTGTCTTCCCTTAAAAAAGGTGTTAACTGACCTCATCAGACTTACTGGGTTGGCGGTGATTAAGGCCCATAGTCTTATGACGATGCAACTATCTTCGTTGGAAAAAGGTGTTGACCGACCTCGTTAGAAAGACCATGTTGGAGGCGATCAAAGCTCGTAGTCGTACAATTTAGCAACTATCTTCCCTTGAAAAATGTGTTCGCCGACCTCATCGGACATACTGGGTTGGAGACAAACAAGCTTGTAGACGTACGTTAAGGAAATTATCTTTCCTAGAAAAATGTGGTGATCCACCCAGGTTGGAGGCAAGGCTCATAGTCCTATGGTGAGGTATTGTTTTCCCTTGAAAAATATGTGGCCAACATCATTGGACATACTGGGTTGGAGGTAATAAAGGCACGTGTCCTATGGCAAAGCAATTATCTTATCTTGAAAGAGGTATCGATTGACCTCATTGGAGTTATAGGGTTGGAGGCAATCATGGTCCTTAGTCCTACAACAAGAAAAATATCTTCCCTTGAAAGGCGTGTTGACTGACCTTATCAGATAGACCGAGTTGGAGTGATCAATGCACGGGTCCTACAATGAGGCAAATATCTTCCCTCGAAACACTCATCTAACATGCTGGGTTAGATGTGATTAAGGTCCGTAGTCATACAGTGAGGCAATTAAAAAATTATTTTGAACTCAAAAAAATTATTCGTGTTCGACTTGTTTGCTTAGTGAGTCGAACATGAGTTGTTCGTGAACAAAGAGACGTTTTGACAAACCTAATCACGTAGTCATAGAATATTAAGAGTAAGGGTGAGATTTAAATCTTTTATTTATATTAAAACATTATTTAAATATTATTTAATATATTTATATTCTATTTTTTAATTAATAATTTTAACATTAATGAACAAATCTTTGTTCATGTTCAGCTTGTTTATATATCGAACGTAAAAAAATTATTCTTGTTTGGCTCGTTTGCTTAGCAAACGAATAGAACACGAGCTTCTTAATGAGTCGAACACTAATATATTTTCTTAGGTTTTTTTTAAAAAATTAATATATTTTAAAAAACACTCAAAATAATATTTATATATTTAAAATAGTTTTTAAAAATAATCATATTTTAATCACATAATCAAACATTTTATTTTAAATCAAATTATAAATAAATAAAACAAAAATTAAAAAATAAAAAAGAACCCAAACAACGCCTAAACTTCTCACTTAATTCTTTGTAATATTACAAAATTTTAAGGTACTGCCATTTTCTTTCAATTGTTATCATAGAATTCAAATCGTTATATTAAAAGTTGTAAGACTTACATACATACTACCCAATTTTTATGTATTTATATATCTAACACCTTAATTTTAGCTTTTACATTTATAACACCCAATCTATATGCAAATGTGTATTTCACTTTTTATAAAATTAAAATTGTTGTATTTTTGGTGTGATAAGAAAGATTGGAGTGGTATAAATGTAAAAAAATAAAATTTATCTGTTATATATATGTAAATTTATAGGATTTGGGTGGTATGTACGTAAATGCTCCTAAAAAATAAATGACAATCATACAATAACTACATATGAAATTAAAAAAAAAAAGACTTGCATCTTCATTTACAGGTTGTAGCCTACAAATCATGCACAGAACTCAAAACCTTCAATTTCTCATTCATGACGATAGCATTATATAATAGTTGCCTTTGAGCAGGTTACCATTTAGCAGATGCCACCTGCTGCTATAAAAAGAACAGTCCACCCACATCAATTAAAGCTGTTAACTGTTTGATTCAGCCGGGCCAGCTCAAAATTGGCTCGGAAAAAATTCAATCTAACATTTTGACATGTAGCACAGTTCATTTATTTCGATCCGCTCTCAACCAGTGCCAAAATTTGACTAAATTTTCAAATGATTAATGATCTTTGAGCTAAATTCGCTAAATTCACAGCCTTAACATCATTGTGGCTGTTAACAATCAGATTTCAAGTCGAGCTGGGGTCGGCTCTCATTTATTTAGATCTGAGCCAAATTTTGAATCAATTTTCGAGCGAGTAAAGGTCTTCCAGCTAAATTAACAACACTAACCTCAATTGAGTAGATTGAGCATACATAAATGTAAAATGACTTTTTACACTGACAATATAGTACTGATTGATTACTAAAATAAAAATGTCTTATACAATGCGAATGGAGATAAAATGGGGGTAAAACTAAGGGAATAAAAAAATTTAAGCATTCTTTTCGAAATAAGTAAAACGCCACTGCACAGCTAATAGGCCACAATCGCTGGCAAGAAGTTGCTAATAATATAAGCACTATTATCTCATATATCGCCTATGATTATTACTTACTCCCGCTTGTCTTCTTCAATGCCTCCATTTTTTGAGCCAGTTAATGATGCTTTGTTGTCTGGAGACAGAGAAGCAGTCTGGGTGTCCTTAGAAGGGAAGGGCCCAGGCTTTATCAATGAAAATGTTTCCTCTCTATCAAATTCTTCGCTTGCATCAGCAGAGTAAGCATATCTGATTTAAAAAAAAAAAATCAGCAAATAGCTATGATTATAGATTAGGGGAAAAAGATATTTAGTGGAAGTTCCTAAAATTTAAATTTTTCCATCATATTGTAGGTAATGAATCATTTTGTCTAATACTTGAAGGAAAAAATTACAATATTAAAAAAGAAATTGATTCTCAATGAAGGATTTATTTTATTCTTTTTTAATAATAATATATTTAAGTGGTACATTTATCCACCCTCAAAAAAAAGGCCGGTTCCGCCCCACGTCCTGCTGCCTTGTTCCGCTGAATGTGTTTGTTTCTATGAAATTGTGGGTTTTATTTTGATTTGTATATAATGGGGGGAAAATTATTCACTAGATTTGTTGTTGTTTTAAATTCCTGATTCATAGATGACATTAATTTATGAACTCGACAGCTATCTAAAATCAGATTTGGTTGATCGTGTGTTATTATATCTACTAACATAAAAAAAGATGAGTCGACAAAAAGTATATTTTGAGATCTTTAATCAAATAAATTTTGGGGATGATTACATACAGGCCACCCAAAGTATTGCTATTTACAAATCAAGCAACCTCTTTCATCCATTTTTCAACTTTTAACTCAAATATCAAAGGTCATGATAAAACATCAACCCATATTTTTCATTTTTATCAAATTCACAATAATTTGATTGTGACACGCATAAATGCATCAGTTTCATAGCTAAAAAATGGTCTATTGCTTGATTTGTAAATAACAATGTTTCTTGTGCTCTGTATGTAAGTATCCCTTTGTTCAGTATTCAACTTTGCAAGTGTAAGATGGAAGTGCAAGTCCTTCCAGAGTGGAAAAAAATAGTGCTACCTAATTACAGGGCAGGTCATGTTCTAGTACTGGCATGAGACCTTAATTTTTACTATGGTGAAGCATTTATTTGTTTAATTTCCTTCAACATATTTTTGGTTATAGCATTGCTAGTATTTCTAATTTTGTTCAAATTTTATACAATTGAAATTCTAATTATAGTAATCAAATTATGACATGCAAATTGATTTTGCATGGTTTAAATTTATGGTGGTTGCTTTGAATTTACTCAATCATCATATTATTGTTTGCGGTTTACAATTCGTATTTAATGTCATGCAATTAAAGAAGTAAATTGTTGGCTTATTTAGTGTTTTGCAATCACCCAATCCTAAATTTCTTAATGTTATCCAAATACATCGCATTAACATAATTGCAATTGGAAACCATGACACAAACCATCCTGCATCATATCATATAAATCCATATTTTAATTGACATAAATTTCCCCGATGCTGCAAAAGAGCCGACATTGCAGCTATTAAGTGAAAGGTTCTTCTGGAAGTGAACCATGATTCATAGAATTATATGTAATTTGTAACCCAAAAAAATCAATACTTAAACCTATATTTCAATCTTGCATAAATGCATTCCAAGCAAAGTACCTTAGAAAAGAATTATCATAAATCCAAGCCTTACCTCGTTGAATTCTGGGATGGCGCCCACAGAACACAAATCACACAGAGAAGAGAAAAGGTGAGGACCTGCCAGAAGGCAGGAATTATCCATGCGCTCTGCCATCGCTCATTGTACACATCAGTTGACTTGAAGTAAAGCTGCATAAAGAAAAACAATGAAACATTTAAGGAATTGTGAAATGAGGGAAATGATAAATAGTTTTTTCAAAGCATCACAGAATGTAAAATATTAACAAAGAGCTCTGTTTTAGTTTGGCTGCAGACTGAATTTACGCAAAATGATTTATTAAATTCTGTAAATTGGATCTTTACTTTTACGGAACGAACTCTCGAGCGACGGCGGCAAGAAAATCTTAAATCTGTCTCACAGTCGGATTTATTAAATCCGAATTTACGTCCTAAAACAGACGGAATGCAGGAAGAAATGTCAGAACGCATAGATTTTCGATTTAACAGAGCGTTGGATTTAATTTTGATGTTTTGCAGGATTTAAGATAAATTCATGGCTAAATCCCCTATAAATAATGCTACCAAACACCCCCTTAAGATTCCAAGTGTATTGCACATTCACAAAACATATAACAGCTTTTAACTAACAAAACACCATGTACGCTTCAGGATGCAAACTATAGCGCGCGGCAAATCTATTTCATTGGCAGCAAACTAGGAAATTAACGAGTTTTACCTCATAGCAAATCCAACCAACAGATACAATAACAGTCATGGCTAACGTATTTGTGAATTTTCTGTAAATGTCTAGCTTAGCCATCAGCCTTCTAGCCTGTAACAGGGAAGACAGAAGTAAAATTCCGACCACTTTGAACAAGAATGTTGCATGTAGATGTTGTAAAATACAATAGAATTCAGTATTGTGTATACCTGGAGCTTCTCTAGTGTCTTGGAGAGAGAGGTGAATATCCAGAGAATGAAGAAGGCATCTAACACAGCAACTGGAAGAACCAAAAACAATCTAGCATTTCCGGAGAGATCACTTACAGCACCAAGATTCTCCACCAATTCGAGAACCTCAGAAGCTAGAAAAAAGGTAGCCCCAAGCATTTGTACCTTTGATGAAAGACCGCCCAATGTAGGCCTTACGACACCATAACCCATAGAAACAAGAAGAATGATCAGCCGTGCAATAGTTCTTTTAATAGCACCAAAGGTTACAGCCCAAAACGTGATCCCCATGGGGCGAACTCCAGTTTTATTGAACTCTGCATACTCCAAATACCATAATGCCATTTCAAACATGCCTAAAGCAATAACAGCTGTTATGCAGTTTTGAAGAGGAAGAACCTCTCTCCAAAACCTTGCGTACTGAGAGAACCAGAATATTCCGAGTATAACAAAGGCGAGAGAGATAAATCCATAGAAATTCATGAGAGGGGCCATTCTCCCAGGAAGATAACCAGTGGGATTTTTCCAAACTGTCTTGCCTTCAATGACCAGTCCTTTAAGTGCAGGGTCACAAATAATGAAGTATACATTATACATCCCTGTTTTTGTAACTGATATTGTTTTTGATGGTAGAGTTGCAACTAGATCCTTTCCTGTGAAAGAAGTAGATAATATTTGCGGCCAGTCAGGATTCGTGGTGGAGGGACGAAAGATGAGATTGCCTTGAGTGCAAACTCCTAATTTTGCAAGATCTGCCGTGCAGCAAATAGCTTTCTGACCGCCGTAGACAGATCCACCAATAGTTTCCCGGTCTTCCACTTCAAATACTATGGCTTGAACCTTTACCGAGTCTGTGTCTTTACTCGATGCAGCAGCTTCTTCCGGCCTTTGCAATGTGATTTTCTCAAATCTGGTATATTGTGTTAAGTCTCATAAAGTTAGTGGCAGCAATATATGTAATGATGCTAATGTTATCTGCTAAATTTCTGTGAAATTTCAGAATTTAAGAGTAGAAACAATAGTCAAAACTCATCTTCGTCTACAATGCATTGATTAGTATCAGTTGTTGGCCAAAATATTTTGGCCCACAGAGTTTTGAATTGAAAAATAATGATAGGCCTGATGAGTAGAGGTACACTTCATGCCACATAAATAGATCGGCCTCAAGAACTTCACAGTAGTCACCTCTACTGCACAAGGAGCTCGTGCCGAGATTGTTCATAACATAACAATCTCTTTCCACCTAACAGGAGCTGCCTTCAGAGCATTGTCAACAGAACATGCGTTCCCTTTCACATTTCTATAAAGAGATTTATTGGTTTCATGAAAATCAGCATCCATTGAGTTTAAGCTTAGCCTACATGCACAATGAATGATTAATAGAGTATGGCTATTCAAGATCACCGCATGGCTCTATGTGAATAAAGAGAGTTTGTGTCCGCGTTGATTTTTCAGGCAATGAATTCCAAAATGTATGAAGCACTATTAAAGTTTGCTATGATAGAAAACCTTATATTTTTGGTGTGAGGCTCCCAAAGGTACAAGCCCTCATAGTAAACTGTCCTTCTCAAACATACATTGAGGCTTTATGATGCTTTACTTCTAAAGAAATAACTTCGTTTAGGGGGAAAAAGAGACATCACTAATGGCTCAGAGTGGAAGCTAAAAGATGACAACAAACCAAAACAAGATCCCATAATTTTTTCATCTCAGGTTGTTATAGACCTTAGTCAGTTATGTGATCGTAAATAAACTCGAGAAGGACGGAGAGAGAAAGAGATGTGGAGAAGAGATAAAAGGTCCCCAATAACCACTTAATATTTCATAAAACCATTCAATGTTTTAAACTAGCCTCAAATATCCTTAATTATAACGATGGAACCCTAGTGTTACAAGCAAATAAAGCAACAAAATATAGTATAAAATAAACCCTAACCCAAAAGTAATAAGCTAAGCTCGGAAATAAATCTAATAAAATAAAGTCAAATATTTCATAAATACACTTATCCATATAAAGCCTGCAAATTTGTAGTTGATCATGCCATTGATGTCAAACATAAGTTTAAATCAAATAATTGTAATCAACTCTCCTAAATTATGAAGAACTCTCCTCTAGAGATGAGTTATATTGAATATAACCATCTGGAAGGTCAGGTGAAATGCACAATTTCTCATAATGAGTCATTTGAAGGTGGGTGATCTCTCCAATGATCAGAATAATGTTGCCACCCAAGGTCAAAATAATGTAACCCGCCAAAAAGATCCATTAGAATTTCAACTAGAATAATATGCTCGACAAGTAAGACTAAGGTTAGGGTTGGCAGAAAAACTAAAAAGATGCTGATGGTGGAAATACAAAACCCCATTTGTAGAGATACCTATGGAATCTTCGAAATCACAAAAATACTCAATATGGTATTAAATCCTTAAAATTAAAAGTCAGACTAATATTCATGTGAGCTGGTATGATATATGAATTTGGTTCAAATTTATGTACTTCGTAAGTGTCTGAGGCTTGGGCATGGAGTTTCTTTATTGTGTTATACAAGAAACATCAAGGCAAATACAAACTAACATACAATCAACTTCATTATATTCTTATGATTTCGCATAAAGTATAAATTTAGACATTCATCATGAAAATCAATTTTGAACAATAATATCATAATGCATTTATGTGCATGCTTAGCAAATTATGCAACTCAATCAAAATGTCTATCCGGTAATGGTATGACGTCCACAGACTTTATAGATGTGACCCATGCACCACTTTAAGAGGTGATTATTCAATGGTAGTATTAGCATAACTTTTGTAAGACATTTGAGACTTAAATAATAATAAATTCCAAGTTCACAAACTGTTACCAATGAAGCGCAACAAAATTTATTAACTTTTCATAATTTAAATAAATCCACCTATCCAGAGGTGAAAGACAGATGAAAACATTAGTAGTATTTTAAAAATTTCTATGAACTTTTCAGAAATAACTACAATTTATTTATTTGTATTGAATATAAATGTTGAAAAATCATATAAATGAACAATTTCGTTTCAGAACAATAGCCAACATGAAAGGAATGAACAATTTCAGCGAAGGGAATGGAATGTGTCATTTTAGAACATCTATCGATTACCACTAATGTGACCACGAATCTCGAGTAATCCTAACATGAAATCCATATTATTATTTAGCCACATCACATTTGGCATAGGTAGGATAGTTTTTCTTAACAACATTCCCCATTTGATAAACTTAACACTAGCATAATATTCTAGCAACGCCTTTTTTATGCAAAGATCAATAGAATCCTTTCTCTACCAAACAAAGTCTTATCATATCCTAAGAGACCAGGTAAACCTCTTACATGTAGTTCCCAAACAATGAAAACTAGGAAGATTTACATACATACTACTCAATTCATATGTATTTACATATCTAACAACTCAACTCCAATTTTTGCATGCACGCCACTTATGCATGAAAAGAAGTATTTGACCTATTAAAAGTTAAAATGGTGGTATTTTTTATGCAATATGAAATATTTGGGTGGTAAAAATGTAAAAATTTTAAGTGCCAGATATGTAAATACACAGAAATTGGGTGGCATTTATGTAAATGCCCCTAAAATCTATCAAATACAAGGAATTTATAGTTTTGATTCTTTCAAATTCAGCACGCAATGTGTAACATGAATCAATAAAATTTAATTATTTTTTTATAACAAGTTAAATCAGATAAAAGTCAATCAATGCATGCTAGTGTACAACATCAACAACAACAACAACAAAAGCCTTTTATCCCACTAAGTGGGGTCGGCTACATGAATCATTTTTCTCTTTTATGTCCTATTAAGTGTCAAATTTTCATTTAATTCTAACAAATTAAGATCATTTTTTATACAATCTGCCAAAGTTTTTTTAGGTATGCCACTACCTTTCTTAACATAAGTCGAATCTAAAACATCACTCTCCTAAGATGATCATCAGTTGGTCGACGTTTAATGTGACCAAACCATCTAAGATGAATCTCTCTAAACTTGTATTCCATTGGAGCTACACCAACCCTTTTACAGATATATTCATTTCGCATTTACTCTCTCAGTGTAAAGCCACTCATCCACCTAAGCATTCTCATCTCAGCAACACTTAACTTAGTTTTATGCTTCTCTTTGATGGGCCAACATTCTACGCCATAAATCATTGCAAGTCTCACCACCATCTTATAAAATTTTTCAAGTCTAAACGGTACTTTTCTATCACACAAGTAAACTTTGAATTCACAAATCACAAGCCTAAATATGTAAAAACTAGCTTTCTTTAGATGCAAATCAATAAATATGAGAATTGTAACCTGAACAACAATGATCGAATGAATTCAAATAAATTAATAAACATTTGACCACATAAACGTAAGTGATTCAAATTTCTTTAGTACACTTAGAATTTCAATTGTGTCAAATTTAAATAAAATTTAGAACACTACCAAGTTGAAAATAAGGCACATGCAAGAAATTAGATTAGCAAAAAATTCACCTAAGTAAAATATTTCAAGCCTCATGATGGTAAAAGGAGTCCACTTCCCTCGAAATTAGATAAGTTGCCTAAGTATCACAATGGAAGGAACCACACATCCAACTTTTACACATACAAAATAAATACTATAAGTGTGAAAGTGAGAAAATAAGAAACCAAGATGGATAAGCATTTTGTGGAGCACAAAAGAGATAGCATCAACCCTAAAAGTGTAGATAAGGGCGTACATGGTAGTGGCAATTGTGATGGTAAGAAGGAGGTGGGCGACAGCGTGTAAATGCAGTGATACAACTCAAATTTGTGATATTTTTCTACTTAAATTCTCTGTTTCATTTCATATTTATCACGACTTTATGCTTGTGGAATTTTTTATCATATTTTACATGAAATAGGTATCGAGTGCATTTTGGAGAGTTAGAAATGAAAAAGGGCCAATAAACTACCAGTGCATTTAGAGTTTCAGTTTGAACTGTACTTGTTTTCTTATTTATTTGCATTCTATTCCATTTTTATTTTTTAAAAATACAAAAAATCCAAAAAAATCATTTTTCAGCTTTATTTTGTTTTTGAGATTGCATGTTTTTTGTTCGGCTGTTGTGTTGTACATACATTTTTTTTCCTATTTTCCTTATTTTTTACATTTCCTATTTTAAAATAGGGTCATCATTTGCACACCTATCATTGCATTAGTAGTGGTTTGGGTGAATTATTATTTTTTACCCTGTGGTATAAAAAACCTTAAAATATTCTAAAAATTCAAAAATTTAAAAGAAACACTTAGAGATGACGAATCCTCAGAAAGATCGCATAAAATCTCTTAGGGGGTTTGTCAACCATCGGCAGAGGGAATCCACGAGTATTCATTACCCAATCATAAAAGCCAACTCATTTGAGTTGAAACCTGTTATTACCCAAATGATCCAAAACAACCAATTTGAAGAAGCACCCATTAAAGAACCAAACCTACACTTGACTAATTTCCTAAGATTTTATGTCACGTTCAAGTATAGTAGTGTCCCCAACAATGCCATAAGACTAAAGTTTTTCCCTTTCTCACTTAGGGATAAAACCAATATGTGACTCACCTCCTTAGCACAAAAATTCATCACCAAATAGACTGACTTAGCCCAAATATTCCTGAAAAAGTACTTCCCTCCATCTAAGACTGACAAACTTAAAAATGGCATCATGCCATTCATCCAATTTGATGGAAAGTCGATATATAAAGCTTAGTAGAGATTCAAGAAGTTGTTAGGAAAAGTCTCCATCATACCCTACCTGATTGACAGATTAACCAAACTTTTTACAATGGGTTGGTAGAATCTTTAAGTTCTATCACAGACACTGCAACTGGGGGTCCGAATGTCTAAACCACT